AAGCTCTATTTATAAAAAATTATAAAATTAATAAAAAAATATTATAATTAGTAATATTTATGTGTTAAATATATTATTTATAGTTTTGAAATGTATTATTTATAACTTATATATATTATTACATTTAAAATTATTTTGAAAATATTATTGAAATTTAATAAATAATTTTTATTTATATTTTTTTTAAAATAGAGATTTAAATTTGTAAACAATTTAATAAATATGTAATTATTAAATAATAAATTATATTTTATAATAAAATACAAATTTTAAAAAGTTAATAAGTTATAATGTTAATACGTAATAAATATTTAATTCTTACATATTTTATAAAATTGTTATTTATTTTAATTTTTTTATTAATATAACCTAAACCAAAAATATAAAAAAAACAAACAAAAACAAAAATAAAAACAAAAACGCCGCTCAAAATTCGGTTCCCCGGGAACTAGGGATGACAAATATACCCGTACCCGCGGGTAATACTCGAACCCGTCCCGACTTTAACGGGGAATACCCGGTTTCACCGGGATGTGTTGGGGTAGTAAAGGTGTCACACAACCACATTAGACGGGGAAAGGTCGATAAATTTGGCGACCATCTCAAACGCCTCGGAGCCCATTGGGGAAGGTCGTGAAACTGATGTGACACTACTCTTCGACTATTTCATCCTGGTCTTTGTTTTCTTGCTACGGTTGGTGCGAAACAGTGGAATGAGTGGCTTCCTCTTGCTACGTTATGAGATGATGGGAAAGAAGGTGAAGGAAGACTTAGTTTTCTTGATGTTGCAGGACTAAAATATAATTTTTATAAAATTTTAATTGACTAAATGCTTCCACATTTACATACTAATTTTTCTCATGTACCCATGCACCACTTGTTCAACATACCCACAGTAGAATCCACCGTAGATTATAAGTATAATTTTAATGATTTTAATTTTGAAATATTTGTATATACAAATGTAATGATAACAAGAATAGTTAAGATTATTTAAGTTATACTTGTATTATAAAAATAATTAAATATCTTCAAATTATTCAATATCATAAAACTTGATTTTGATTCAAATTTAAAGCTTCTTTAATGAATTTTAATTCATTAAATAAAATTTCACTATCAAAATTATAAGAATTATCATATTTTAGATAAATTTAAAGATGTTTGTAACATAATTTCAAGTCCTAATAAGATAATCATCTAAGTTTTTCTATAAACATAAAAATTCAATATCATCTTCAATTTAATTTATTTTTTTCTTTTCCATTTAGATGAGCAAAAGGTTTTCTAAGCAACATCTCCAAACTCAAATAATTAGATAAGTATAGACAAAAAAATAAATTATAATCTATGGACCAAATAAAAAGTTTTTAATGAGTACTCCATTTGTTCTCTATTATAAGAAAAAAAAACACAATTTTAGTTTTTAAATATAAGCAAATTTCAATTACTTTTGTTTCATTTAATGATACTTTTCCTATAATATCTCATGCATGACCTTCACTATTTCGTTTAACATTTATAATGAGAACAATTTATAAATAATATTATATGATTAGTAAAATTTAATATAGATAAATAATTTTCTTAATATGTGTAAAATTGATTTTTTTTCCTTATAATAGAGAACAAAGGAAGCAAATGACTATGAGATGAAACAATAATATATATTTTTTTTAAATTGAATTCTCAATTTGTTGTAATGAAAAAGGACCAATAATAACAACGATACAACACGTTACTATGAAGTTCATGGTAGTTAACAAACGGAGGTTTCGTAAGTTCGTTAAGATTTTAAAATATATTAGAAGAGGTTATGATTAAAAGAATAAAAAGACAATTCAGAGGGTTAAAGATAAAGGGAATGACAAAAAGTTCAAGATGACTCATATTTATTAACAATGCAATAGGTTCACATAGGTGTTATTTGATACGCGAAATATTTTAACTTCCATAAGAATTTTGGTTTCATATGTTTGGTGACGAGTGAGAATCCAACTTTCCTAGGAGAAAGTTTAATGTATATAAAAGATCATAATACCTTTTTTTAAAAACAAAAACTCTCGTTTGATTTCTTTTCTTTTTTCCTCTCTCTCTCACACTTTGACTCTCCTATCTTCCTCTCCCACACCTTCTATTTTTCATTCTCCCTTTCTTCCTTCCATATATATATTTATCATTCTCATTCTCATATTTTATGATTTTTGTTATCTAGTCAATTTTAATAATATTATTAAAGTATATTTTATTTTTGTAGTATTGTTATAATATTTTTTTAAAATTTATTTACTTTAGTGAAACAAGATAATATATTTTTATCCACTGTCATGCAACCTTTTATCCCTTTTCAAGTTCCCTTTTAGTAATGTCTTTAAATCTAGACCTATCATTGAATCGGTCAAGACATTAGTTCAAGATTCAATAGTTCGATCATGATTGAACCGATATTAATAAAATAATTACAATTAAATAATTTATAAAATAATATTAAATACACATCATATGATGATTTCATACACACTAAAAATTAAAATAAATTTATAATATTCTAAGTAAACCTAAAAAAGTCCAAATATAATATTTAAATTTAAATTTAAATAAAATATAACAATGTCTAGCAATAATAACAAACTTACATCTTGAACAAAAGTTGTCAAATTAATAATTAAAAAATTAAAATATAAAAAAATGCAAATTAATATAAATGATTAGATTATTTTTATAAGAAATTTAACAAAATAATTTATTCCAATTTATAATCATTATTAAATATGTATTTATTTATTATAAAATATTTGAAGCATTTTAAAATTTAAAGATAAAGTTGTTAATTTTTTAACGGTACTAGTTCAACTCGGATTTTTATACTTGTTTTTTTATTAGTTTAAACCAGTTTTAGACCAATTTGATTGGTTCTTAATATGATTGCACCAGCTTCTTTAAGTTATTAGTCGGGTTGATCCCATTTTGACAACTATGCTCCTTAGTCTTGCTTGCTAGTCCTCTATTAATTCCTCAACCAAATATAAAATGATGCATCTCTATACATATTTGAGAAACAAATACATATGATTGTATTAGTTGATTTTGTCGTTTGAGCTTGCCTTTTTATTTCATATATGGAGATGATGTGTGGTTGTAGTGGTTTGCAAGGGTTTTATTGTGGGTCGCGAAGGGTTTTACTATGACATCTTTGGTTTACTTTGTTAAATTATTGTAATGTTTAGAGACGAGGAAAAGCAAAGTAAATATAAAAAAATGTGAAAAAAGGCGAAACAAAAACAAAGGGGAGAAAGGAAAAAAGAAAATGAAAAAACATAATAAACCACATATACATTCAATTTTATATTATTTTATTTAGCAGTGCCAATTTGTTTCCCACTCCGGGGGATATTTCCAACTCCCATATGCTAGCCTTCGTCATGAATAAAGTCAATGTCTATGTTGAACTCGTTATACGACTAATTAGTAAAAATAATAATATTAACATGTATTATAAAGCATTTTAATTATTAAAACATTATAGGCTTAAATCCATTTTTACTATGTGTAGTTGTATGATTAATTAGTTTTGGCACCAAAATTTAATAATTAACATTTTTTTTATCGTTTTGACATCAAGTATTTACAAAATATGCTAAGTGCAATAACTCGATAACCATTTAAGTATTAGTTATAAGCAAGTATGTTGGTTCACTCGAACAATATAATCATTAAGGCCACATGATGTTAAATGAGAGGATAAGCGTGAAAGCTTCAAAGAGTAATCTTTGTTCTGTGCTCTTAATGTTAAAAGAGTGTAACGCTACTAAACAAGCATTTGGTGCTAAGTGAATGTGTGGTGGTGCTAAGTAAACGTGTGGTGATACCTAATAATGAAGCTTTTGAGAGTAGCTTTTTCTTTGTTGCTTGGATACTAAGCAAGGGACATGCCTCACCAAACAAGAGTCCATATTGTTTGTAAGTGTTATTTATATTTTTTTTTTTGTTGGGTTGAATTGATGTATGAACCTTATGAATTTATATGAGATGATTGATACCGATATGTTGTGATTGAGATGAAATATGTGAATGTCATGGTCATATAAGTTGTGAACATGAATGAGACCTAACCTAAAGATATAGGCACCTTTACGTGGAAGTATATGAAATCATAGACATTTGCATGTGATCATGCATCATGACATGATGAAACTTGTATTTTTAAGAAAATGCATAGAGAATCAAACTATTAAAAGTCCTAAAAGTTTTTTAACTTTAAATAGTGAAAAAATTATATTGGACTATGCCAATCCTACCACTATAAAACATATCATTATAATTGGGTGACCTTGATGTCTCTGTGGGGGGGGGGAGATATTTTGTTAAGTGCCAATTTTACTTACATTGGTAGGTAAAATGAAGCACTTAATATAGAGTTATCTTTTACTTATAATTAAAACTTGTTCTAAATTTAGTAATTTATAATAGATATTTTATAGTTTTGTAAGTATTAATTATTATTATTATTATTTTATATAATTAGATTATTTTGATAATTATTATATTCAAATAAAATGTTGTTTAAATAAGTTTAATTAAAAGAAAAATGTTTAATTTTGTTAGATATAAAAATAATTTTATGTAATAAATCAACTTAAAAATAAAATTGTTGATATATAATGATCAGATTCAAAAATTTAACTTTATCAAATATTTTTTTTTTTCATATAAAATATTTACAAAGTTTTAAATATATATATTTTTTTTCACAAACAATTATTTTTATAAAAAATAAAAAAAATAAAAAAAATTATAGTATTTCTCAACACAATCTTAGCTGTGATGTGAGGTGTCGATATTCTCACCTAAAAGAAAAAAATAGGTCATTTTTAATAAATCAATTCTCCAAATTTTTTCTCCTATGTTGTAATAAATTCATTGAAGATAGATAATAATATTATTTATAAAAAATTATATACATATATATTTCCCGCTAACGAACCCCGAGTGGCGTTCTTAAGAAACAAACTTTCCCGTTCATCGAACTTCAAAATTGTGCGCTCTCCACCGGCCTCAGCTCTCACTGATGTGATACTCGCACACTCACTGTTTGTGGGAAGATTCGTGTCACAGTCAGAGTCACAAATCCCTATCTATCGCTGGTGTGCGCCATGAACGTTCTGAACGTGGCGGAGAAGCCCTCGGTGGCGAAGTCGGTGTCCACCATCCTCTCGAGGAACCAAGGCATGCGAATGAGGGAGGGACGTTCCCGCTACAACAAGATTTTCGAGTTCAACTACACCATTCGCGGCCAGCCCTGCCACATGCTCTTCACCTCCGTCACCGGCCACCTCATGGAGCTCGAGTTCGACGGCCGCTACCGCAAATGGCACTCTTGCGACCCAGCCGATCTCTTCCGCGCGCCTGTCCAGAAATCCGTACCGGAGGTTTTTTCGTTTCCTTCAATTTGAACGTCGCTTTAATTTATAGGAGTCATTTCCGCGAGCTTTTTCGCTGTGGTTAATTTTGTTTGCATTGTGAACCCTAGGACAAGAAGGATATCAAGAGGACGCTGGAAGAGGAAGCGAGGAGGTGCCAGTGGCTTGTTCTCTGGCTCGATTGCGACAGAGAGGGTGAGAACATTGCATTTGAGGTGGTTGAGGTCTGTACTGCAGTGAATCGTCACCTTAATTTAAAGCGCGCTCGGTTCTCTGCGTTGATTGACAGGTTTGGTGTTGTGTTGTGGTGACTCCTTTTGGTTTTTTGTTGTTCTGTTGTTTGATTGTTGCTCCTGTTTATAGGGAAATTCATCAGGCTGTGCAGAATCTCGTGGAGCCGAACAAGTGGTTTGCTGATGCTGTGGATGCTAGGCAGGTGAGTAAACGCTTTTTTTCTTACCTAAATGGAGCTGAGCTTTTTGTATTTTTGTGTGTCTTTTGTTTGTGACTAATTGAAATTGAAATTAGGATTTGATGTTCTTGAGTTTGTTTTATTTGCTGACAACATTTGCGTGCTATGTGATATTGTTCTTGTTTTGTGCGTCAATGATGATTATTTTGTTTGTCTATAGGAAATAGATCTTCGCATCGGTGCTTCTTTTACGAGATTTCAGACCATGTTACTGAAAGATGCTTTTATCATTGACACTGCCACAGATGACAGAAATCTTGTCTTAAGTTATGGTCCTTGCCAGGTGTGCATCTTTTGAAGATATGACAGTGTATTGTTTGTGGTATTTATGCTTAAAAAGTTATTTAGTGATTATGAATTTCCGTTCTACTTTTTTTTACTACAGTTCCCTACACTTGGGTTTGTTGTGGAAAGATATTGGGAGATACAAGCGCACGAGCCAGAGGAGTTTTGGTTAATTAATTGTTCTCATAAATCAGATGAAGGCATTGCTAATTTCAGCTGGATGTAAGATACAAACCTCTTAGAGTATCATGGTTCTTCTTGTGTTTTATTTACTGCAGGCTTTGATATAATCTGAATTCATTTGGCAGGCGTGGTCATTTGTTTGATTACACTTGTGCAGTTATAGTATACGAGATGTGCATGGAGGAACCAACAGCAACTGTGAGTCTTGTTTAACGCTTGTGATTGGGCATGTGCTGAATTCAGACTAATTATTTTAATACACACAATTACTGTTCAGGTCACAAATGTAAAACAACAGGAGAAGCTAAAGTATCCTCCACATCCTCTGAATACCATTGAGCTTGAGAAACGTGCTTCACGGTACTTCCGAATGAGTTCTGAGCACACAATGAAGGCAAGTTAATGATGAAAACATCATTTACTTGTGTGCTTTATTTGGTACAAGTTTTACTTTTTCCAATGTACTAACTATTGTGTATAGTTGATTCCTAAGAAAAAAAACTGAAAGATTTAATCAAACTTTTGATCCATGGGTCTCTCTACAGTCTACATATACATCATATGTGAGATTTCTGTAAGCAAGCATTTTTGCCATGTAAGAGGCACTGTGTGTTGTTCACCAGTATTCCTAAAAGGTTTTCTGCCTGCATTTTTAGTTATTGGGAGACTGGATCATGGTTTACTGTTTATATGAAAATGTGATTGCCAAACTCTGGTGATTGTGGTGAATGAACAAATGTATTTAAACAATTATTTTGTAGACAAATTCAGAGCAGCAAAGTGGTTTTTCATTCCAACTCTCATTTAATTTGCATATTTTTACAGATTTGATGTTTTTATATGCATCTCTTGCTTACACCTTACTTAATTACTTATAGGTTGCAGAAGAACTTTACCAAGCTGGTTTCATCAGTTATCCTCGTACAGAAACTGATATTTTTTCTTCAAGGACTGACTTGCACGTGGGTAACTTTTTCTTTCCTATCTAAGCATGAATAACTATCATAGTTGTAGCCTCCCAGTTGGATTTGGACTTTAAAGATACAAAAAGGGGGTACTGTTATTGTTAATTTGCATGTAGTAACTAAGCATTGACTCTAGTTTGGAAAGGGGATGCACCCCCATTTTTCCCATTATGGACAGGCTATTTGGCATGGATTCTATTTGCTATGATGTTGTGGTTATGTGCACTTTTTTTGGTGTGCTACTGTTGTATACTACAAATTAAAGAGAAAAAGGTTAAATCGACTTGAATGTTACTTGAAACTCATAAGCGTTTTAATTTATTGTGGGTACATGACTACCTGTAGATGTTCGTTGTAAAGCATATATGATTACTTTATAAATGAAAGCTAATTTTCTTTTGTAATATATTGTTGGGAGATCAATTCAATTTTCCAAATAAATATGGTGGGTGAAAATCCAAGAACTACATTTCACGGGGTTGCAGAATGTATTTTGACACTTGGAGAACTCCACTACCATAATGAGAGGGTAGGCCAGAAGGAACAATTAAGGTCCACTGAGTCTCATTTATGAATGGAATCATGGACCTTTGCTGTTTAAAGGGGTCACGTGAAGAAGATGGATCATCCTAAACCAAAGCAAGAGGAGAGAGCGAGTATGAGTGTGTGATCACTTGTGTGAGAGAGTCTCTTGTAGTGGGAGTGTGTTATCATTTCTTGTAACTATTGAGTGTGGGTAAACTCGGTATGTAGAGATTGACAATTTGGGGTGAGTTACAATTGTTGTAATCATATTTGATATAGCGGAACACTTGATGGTTTTGTGGATATAAGCAAGAGGTGCTGAACCACCTTCCATCCAAAGTTCTTTTGGGTGTGTGGGTGATTTTCTTGGTGTTCGTTTTGCCCTCGACATATATGATAGTGGAAATTATAGAATATGTGATTTTAAGTAAAAAAGATCTGATTTTTACCACCATTATACTTGATTTTTGCGCTTAAGATTTTCATGTGTTGTTCAACTTGTACTGTTTTAACGATATTGTTGTTGCACATTAATCATCTATTTTTTCTCCAATGACTGGCCTTTTTATTTTCCTTTCAATGGCAGACAATTGTGCAAGAGCAACAAGGGCATCCTGAATGGGGAGTATATGCACAGCGGTTGTTGGACCCTGGTTCAGGACTTTGGAGAAATCCTAGAGGTGGTGGACATGATGATAAGGCTCATCCACCCATTCACCCTACAAAATTTTCTACCGGAGAATCTGGATGGAGCCAAGACCACCGAGTCAGACATGATTTCTTAGTATTTTCTTTACACATTTCATTTTGCTTTGAGTCTTTGACATTCATATTATTATTATTATTTCTCAAATTACCACAGAAACTGTATGAGCTGGTGGTTCGCCATTTTTTGGCATGTGTCTCAAAGCCTGCTGTAGGAGCTGAAACCACTGTTGAAATTGATATTGCTGGTGAACAATTTTCTGCATGTGGGAGGGTGATTCTAGAGGTGAGATTTCTGTCATGCTATGTATGTGTTTGTATTTTTATTTCACTTGTAGATTTTATTCAATTTTGCTCAGTTAATTCACTGGTTTCATATGCATGCTCTGGACAGCCATATTGTCATGTAAGACAAATATTGGATCTATTTTGAAACACTTGCAATACGAGGAAAAGTGAATACTATTTTCTGACCTCTCAAACTTCCAAAGAGTAGAAAAAGGATCACTATTTATGCAGCTTTCATCATAGAAACTGTGCTAGAATTATGGACACCAAACTACACCCGATTACTACAATTAAGGAAACCTTCATCAATAAATCCTAACGAAGGAATAAATCTAATTAAATCTGTACAAAAAGAGATAATTAATAATGCTCATGCTTCATATTTTACATGTTACAACCATAATTTTAAAAGCTGGCTCAGACCGGTTCAATTGGGAACTAGTCATGTAGCTAGTCCAAGCCTTAAATTGAATTGGTTATGTTATTGAACTGGTATAAACCAGCCGGTTTTACGGTTAAACGAGTGAACCGTGGGTTGTTTGCAAAAATCGTGTCATTACCTTTCTGCCTTTTAAATGCTTACACCCTGTCCCACATTCTTGTTTTTCACTTTTCCATTGTAATTTCTCATTTTCTCATGCAATCTTTTTCGCACAACCAAGGAATTGAGACCTGGTACTTTAGATAAACAGTGTTACTTACCATTAAGCCAAGCCATGTAATTATTAAATGTTTGCTTTAAATTACTTTTATAGTATACTTTTAATTTATAATTCATATTTAATTACATAAATTTATGTAGACATTATGGGACTTGAATTTATTTAATCACTTAGTGACCACTAAACCAATATACTCTATTATATAATTAACTTAAATAATTTTTATAGTATGTTTTTAATTTATCATTATATATTAATTTATACTATTCAACTAGCCTATAAATTGATTGTTTTGTCAGTGTTATATTAACTACAATATTTTTTAGGCCTTTTTAATTCATGGTATGAATTTTATTGAAATTTATAAGTATAAAATATATATGAAATGAATATTTTTTTAAAAAAATAATAAAAACTGGGTCATGTGATTTAATTAGTGATTCATTGGTTTGACCCTTGATCCATTGATCCAGTAGCCTGATCAGTTTAATGACTGATTTGGTTTTTAAAACATTGGTTACAACACTCCGTAGAATGAGATGAATGTCTATCTTCTTAGTTTGCTAGTAAGATCTTGGAGTTGTTCTATGGGTAGTTCCTTAGTTAGAAAATCTAGTAACTTACGTCTAGATGGACTGAAGGCGAACATATGCCATCTCTATGTCTAACTTTTCCTTGATGAAGTGACAATCTATTTCTATGTTATTTCCTTGTAATGGTGAACTGGATTATGAGCAATGCTAATGGGAATGGTGTTTTTGTTCTCACAAAAATAGGAACTTTGTATATATGACAATATATACCATAATAAGGAAATAATTTTACTGCACTACTCAAATCCTAAGCAAGTTTGTGTATGGAAACAAAGTTGTTAGGGAGTGAAGGGATGGGGGTTGGAATTGAACGTTACATTGTTACCACATCTGGCAATTGGGGTATGTGACCCATTAGCAGCAGTAATGTGATGATTACCAAACAATACCAGTAGCATTAAAATATACGAAACTAGGATTCTTACTAGTCATGGCTTGAGAATAAGTGTCAAATGGCTTACTCAACAAATCATGGTAAGGAACAAAAGGTTGTTGGCATTCAAATGAACCGTTTAGGTAGGATTGGACTGAGGATTAGCCATGGTACTCTCACCCTCCCCCATAACAAAACTACAAGGCTATGGCAGGGACAACACTCCACAATGGGAAGAGGAGGTGCCAGTGGCAGTGTGAAGGGATTGTAGAGGGTAGTGCGTGATCTGTATGCAGTGGAAGAACATCTTGAAAAGATAAAGTGTCTTGCAACATGTTCAGTGGTTGTGTCAATGAGGCTCAGGGTGGTGGTCTATCTGGCGAAGATTGGATGATGGTGGTAGAACTTCTAGTGCACTTGAAGGCACCAAATAGGGATCCAATGTTAGTAATGTATGCTGCCTAAGCTGGCTGCAGCCTGCAATGGAGGTGGCAACAATTTAGATGTCAATGGAACAACCTAGGGTTTTAGTGTGGAAGAAGCACCCCCAACATTTGGGAGCTTTGATAATTGATACCAACTTGGAAAATGAGGAAAAGTGAATATTATTATTTTTTCATTCAAAGAGTACAAGGACCAATGTTTATACAACTGTGTTAATAAAAACTATCCTAGAGTCACGGGCATCTAATCAGGCCTGATTACAAATAAGGAATTGGACCAATCAATCCTAATGAAGAAATAAATCTAATTAAACCTGTACACAAAGAAATAATGCACATGCTTCATATTTTACATATGTTATAGCCGATACCAAACATTTTTTCATTAAATTGTGTGACAAAAAATTGGAGCTTATACGATTAACACAACCCATGTTAAAATAGGTTTGATTTGTTAAATTTTAATACTTGAGTACTCTCATGCATTTGCTCCCCCAATTTCTTCTGTTGTTTTTTCGATAATGGTGTTGGTTTCTCTTGTGTTGATTTTTTTCATTGGTGCTTCTAAGTTTATTACAAAACTTTTCCCACCCCAAACGCAAGTCCTAATTAACAATGTTAGGAACCCGCTGGTGAGAGATCTGAGAATTCTATGGAAAAGGGAAATAGATAACTAATTGTTTATCGCTAAATGGATCTCAACTGAAAAGGCGAAAATTCTCCTTCCAAAGGTTTTCCCTTTTACAACTGAGCTATTGTTTTTTGATACTAACAATTCTGAGTGGCTCTCCCTTCGACCCCTTCTCCCATTTAGGCTAGGCTTCTTCCCTTTCAACTATAACTAACTATCTGATTCTATTCTGTAACTACTTTGTATTTAATCTCTAACTTCCTTGCTTCCTGGGTCCTATCAATGCCCTGCGTTTATGAGTACTTTATTATAGTTGAAACTTGTTCCTGTCTATCTAAACCTGTCTTTTTATCTTCATTCCTATTCCTTCATAAGCTTAAAATTTTGTTACCTAAACATGGCATGTTGAAATAAAGCATTAAAAATTCCTTTTCTCCTAAGAATTAAAGAGAGTGAATTTCTAACTAATCAGCATTAGTGATGGTGCAGATTACCACTGCAAAATTGAAAAGATCTCCTTAAAGCTACAACTGGTTTGCTGCAATCTGATTTTATCTTTACAGATAACCTATTTAGGATTTTTTTTCTATCTCTCTTCATTTTCAGCCACACTGTTATTTCAATCATTCAAAAATTCTTTTTCAACACATAACAGTAACAAGAACTTCCTATTCCTGCAGTCTTCATTATTCGATAAACTTAAATATATTTGTAGTATTTGTGAAATAAGCAAGTTTTAATTTTGGTCCATGTAAATATTTTTCTTTGTTTTTCATTCTCTAAAATTTGGAATTACTGCTTTTAGTGTCTATATTATGTTATCTTTGTTAACTACTTATGTGTTTATCATAAGATTCAGGAAACATCTATGGTGAAACTTCTAAATTTTTTTATAGGTCCTTAAAACAAATAGTATTTATCTACCTTAAAAGTTAAAAGAATTGTTAGGGACTAAAAATAATGATTTTAGATTTTAGATGATGAAAATAAATAAAAATTTAGGGGACCAAAATCAAAATTTGTCCATTTTTCAAGGACTTAAAACAAAAATTTCAAATTAAATAGGGATGAAAACAAAAATTCTTTTAGAGGGACCAAAATCAAAACTCACTCATTTTACAAAGACTAAATTTTAGCCTATCTGATATTATGCAATTTCATAATTATTTATTGTTGTAGGTACCACTTTTTGCCTTTTTACAAACTTGAATCTATATAATAACTTTAGCTTTGAATTACTTATGGGAATAACTAATATTTGTTTTGGTACATGTTCATGCACATACATGTATGGGTTTTATTTTATTTACTAAATTTCTAATAAATGTTGGAGGCAAGTTGCAAATAGTCTGATTATGTTTTGTCTTGTTTTAATGTGATCAGAAAAACTACTTGGATGTTTATCGGTATGAATCTTGGGGTGGATCAATGATTCCAGCATATACTATTGGTCAACAGGTTTGCTTTGAATTATAGCATCAGATTATATACAACACTCTTGTATTAGTGGTGGATTCTTTTGTTGTATATATATTTTTTTCATATTATTTCTGGCACTCGTGATTTCCTCACATGCTGTCATTGTCACAACTGTCAGATTCCTGATGGAATTCCACACAACAAAGCCCTGCATATCTCATTTTGATAAATTATTATACTTCTCTTGTATTGGCTTCACTGTTGTATTTAGTACCATATTAGAGGCTGAAGATTTAGGAGTCTGACAATTTTTTTTATTTTTTATTTTTTTTTGTGATACAAATGAAGACAAAATGGTCCAAACTAAAAATGTTGCAAGTAGTTACCCTAAGCATCTATTTAATGTGCTAATATACTTGAGAAAGTTGATGTTTTGTTGTGGCAGAGTTATGTCTGAAGCTTTACTTGCCATTTTCCTCACAAGTTGGACATACTGGACATCTATGCACTAATATGAGAGAGTTATATGTCCTTTTATTTTAAATTTCAAATAAGGATTTTAGAAGATTGAGTTAGTTAAAAATTAAAATCAAGATCAAATTATTCAGATCTGATTTGATTTTATTCTTATTTATTTTTTCTTAATCTTATCCTTATATTTATTTTGTATCTGACTATATATATGTCTCATGTAATTCTGATCAATGTAGAATAATAAAGATAATTTTCTTCTCCTAAATTTTCACTTTATAATAAGACTTGGGTAATTCTTTCTTCTAGAGCTAACTTTTGGGATTGAATTAGACTATGTTCATTTTTAATATGGCATTAAAGCCTATCCAATGTTGATGTTGGGCCATGCTAAAATTTCACACTTCATATGTACAGTATTGTGAGTGAGGATGTGCGTTAAGATGTCCCACATTCGTTAGGTATATGGTTCAAGTTGCCTTCGTAAGACTTGGACAGTTATTCAACCTTGAGCTATTTTTTGGGGTTGAGTTAGCCTTGGTCCATTTCTAATACTAGACATAAGTTTTTAGATACCTTTTCTATATATGATTGATGTAATATTTGGGTTTATGTTTGCTGTATGCTATTTGCATCTGAGTCTGAATAATGAATATTCATGATGGTGTTATTAATATTACAGTTCATTCCAACAACATTAACCCTTGATTCAGGAGTAACCCGACCACCACCACTTCTGAGTGAAGCTGATTTGCTGAGTTGTATGGATAAGGTGAGAATGATTTAGAATCTGACAGACTCAATAATACATTTAAAAATTTGATACTTTCTTGTGTGCAAGTCAGATTATGTGTCATTAAATACTGACAATTGTATATTTGTTTTTGTTCTTATTTCTTCAAAAGGAGGGTATTGGTACAGATGCTACAATGCATGATCACATCAAGAAGCTGCTTGATCGGTTTTATGCAACTAAGGATGCTAGCACTCGTTTCACACCAACTAGTCTTGTAAGCTCATACTGTTAATTTGAAGGATAATATTTTCTCTTTTTCTTGCGACAATCTCCATGCCTTATGATATTTTTCTTTGGCTGTCTTGACTCTTGTTTACTGCTGTTAAGAAGAGTTACTACATAATGTTATTAGGTTAGAAGAGGATGTCGTGAATAATATTTATAAGTCAATATTCAAATATTTCATTTGATAAAACTGATTCGTATAGGCGTATAAACTGTTGTAGTATTATTCTGCAATTGAGCATGATAACCAATGAATGTGTATATTAAGGTGTCAACCATGAACCATCGGGTTTAGTTGACAGTTACGGGAAGAATATTACTTTGATCATTAAGAATTTGACTTCACCCATACAGGTGAAGTAATCAATGCATTTATAAACATAGCAATTAGAATCTGTATGTGACCTGCATTTAATTTTGACTACAACTAAATATACAGTTTCCTGAGCTAAGAGTAAATCTATTGTGGGAGATCTGCTTAAAAGGATTTTATACTGTAGCATGAATTAAGTCATGCTATCATCTAACATCTATCCTTGTCAATTTTATTATATCTATCGAGAACTAAAGCTGCACAACAGAGTGGCGTGGGCTTGATTATTAATTTTGTATATATGCTGTAGCTGTATCCTTCTGGTTTTTACACAATGAAATTTTAGCAGATCAGTATTACAAACAATTGAAAAGTTTTACCCATTAAGGTTTTCGTCATGTTAATACTTAAAGAATTCAAGAATCTTTTTGCTTTTTCATTGGCTTTTTAAGGCATTTAATTCTCAAATATGTGGTTGTGCTGGCATAAGCAGCCAAAACAAAACATTAAGTATGATATTTTTTTCAATCACTTATTTATATTAATCATGAGTTTAATATTATTGTAGGGTGAGGCACTTGTTATGGGATATGATGACATGGGGTAAGTAATGCTATTTATTTTAAAAGTGTGTTTAATTCTCAAGTCTAATCTGAGTATATGCTTTATCTAACTTTAGTGGATAGCTATATTCTGTTAGTTAGATGCAGTATTATTTTTATTTTTGGAAAAAAATAGAAAAGAGGAATTATTGGTGTAGATATAGTTTAAGAAAAGTTAACCATTTAAATAGAGGTGTTCAATATCCATCTTGTCCTAATAATGTTTTAGATGATTAATGATGGTCAAAGAGTTGCTAATATTTATCCAGCAATTGACTCAATTATTTTGGTTGCTAATTTGTTGCTAAATTGGAAATCATTTCTCAAAGAATTTCTTTTTCATAAATTTCCAATCATGTTGATAACATGAGTTGACTTTGAATTCCTTGTTTGGGTTTGAATCCAAAATGTGATTTTCACATTCAATGCTTCCTTTGAATCTTACTCCGCTTGCTGTGTTCCCCATTCTTCATTGTACCTAGTGACTAGGGTAATAGATGCCATTTGCATCATGTTGTGATTCAGGAATTGTGTGTATTGTTGTACACATACCAATCTTATTTATAGAGTGAATACAATAAATGATAGAGATACTAATCTCTAATATTATGGAAACTAATCTAATCATATCCCTAATTGATAGTGAGGATAATAGCCCATAATATATGTATCCACAATATCTGTAATATATTCACAATATCTGTAACACTCCCCCTCAAGCTGGAGCATATATATCATATGCTCCAAGCTTGTTACAAATGTAATCAATCCGAGGTCCTTTAAGCGATTTTTGTGAACATATCTGCTAACTGGTCACCGGAGGCAGCAGTCAGACCGAAAGCGGCGATCGGAGGCGACGGCCACCTGAAGCCACGGTCGGAGTCAGCGACTGGAAGCGGTTGTAGGTGGCGACCGGAAGCGGCGGTCGGAGTTGGCGACCAGAAGTGGCGACCGGAAGTGGCGGTCGGAGTCGGCGATCGGAAGCGGCGGTCGGAGTCGGCGACC